CCTCCGGGAGCCCCAGGGCGGGTGCTGGCGCGGCGGGGTGCTGGCGTTTCCATCGTGCTGTCACGGCACCGCGCTGCGCCCGGGGCTCTGTCGAGCACTGAGGCTGCAGGAGCCCGGCAGCCCCCCCATCTCCCGGGGCCTTTCCCCGGGGCCGCTCCGCAGCAGCAGCTCCCCAGGCTGCCGAGTCCTGCGGTGCCTGGATGTGCTGAGGCTGCAGAACATAACTCCAAATGGCAAAGGGAAGACTTTTTATAGCTCGTGAACTCCAGCACTAGTGCGAGGCACGGGGCGTCTAAAAGCAAGAGGTTCGTGCACTGGCCACCCCCAGGTGAGACTTGGGACCTTCAGCAAATGCTGGGAAGGGCTGGCAGGGACTCGGCCAGTGCCACAGTGTCAGAGGAACCCACACGAGGAGGGATGCACAAAGCAATTCCACAGCAGAGAAGCTAACAGCTAAATGCAAGTCTAAAACACAATTCCGGATCCTGCTGCAGCTCCAGGCAGGTGCTGGCAAGAGTTTGGCAAAGCCCAGGTGAGAGACTGCGAGGTGTGGAGGGAGGAGACTCTGGCACCCTCCCTCCATTATGAGCCTCGTGGTCAAACGCTTGAGCTGGGATTCCTGAAGCAATTCAAGACAAAGGGAATAGAAGTTGTGCCAGCCCTGTAGGAACACGCTGGACTTCCTTTATCTTCCCTCCAACCTCAATAAAGTTCCTCATTAGAGGAAGCTGATGCTGGCTACTTTCCGTACGATAGCTCAGTTGAATTTAAAGGTCGTAGGGTGCCTAGTGAGAAAGCATGTCTAATAAAAGGCACAGAAACAACTGCAGTGCCAGCAGATTAAATTCCCCTAGCAAGAGGCTGAGCAGAGGGCTAACAGTCCTGGAAAGGTCACTCAGTACGAGATGCATTTCAAAGAAAGAAAGGGAGAGGGCAAGTCCAGGAAAAGCAGTTGGGAAGAGATGAATAAAACAACACAGCATGCCCCAAGAAGCCAAGACATCAGAGAAGGGGAGGCCTGGGGTAGATGAGGCACAGTGGGGTCCTGGCCTGGCTCCTGCAGGCCCCAGGTAGAAGAGTTTGGATTCTGTACCCAGTTCAGCATCGCAGCCTCAGCCCTCTGCGGTCCTACGGCCAACCCTTAACGCTGGAACTGCTGCTGAGAGAAGGCAAGTGGGACACTGTGTTATGTTGTGACTCAACAGTGACCTGCAGGGGCATTCTTGCTGTTTCTGGGACAGCACACAAGGGTGCAGAGCCAGGAGGGAACTGACAGTGCCCTGTTCTGCACTCAGCAAGGCCAGCAGGCACCAACCCAAAGACAACGATGCACCGGAGCCACAGAGCAAAGAGCGTGTCCCCTCTCTCCTCTCCAAGTTTATTATTATTTTAAATGTTCATCAAGTACACTGCTAGTCAGAGACCCAGCGGCACTAGGACCTGAAAGGGAGGTGGACAGTGAGACCTGGAGCAGCTCGGGCCTGCCAGGGTCAGTGAACCTCTGGACACGCTGGCCTGAGCAAACACGAGCGGAGCGAGCCAGCTGCAGAGCACCAGAGGGGCACGTGGCACCCGGCTGGCCAAGGGGCAACTCTGAAAGGCACAGCACGAGGTGTGAGACCTCTGTCCTCTCCTGTGATGGTGGAGGTCTCCTTGTACCTCCCGTGGATCACATGTCCCTTGCTGCCCCTTGGGCTGGTGGGCAGCTTCCAGCACCCTCACAGGAAGGGCAGTGCGGGAAAGTAAAGTGTGGAACCTGCTTTCTCAGCTCCTCGCAAGCCACATGTAGGAGCAAAGACCAGGCTAAGGCAGAGACTGGAGCAAGCCAGAGAGAAGGCAAAAAGCTGCTGTGGATCATTCATCTAAAAGCAACATGACCCTACTGCTTTGTCGGGTTCACTGTCAAGGGTTACACAGCCTGCCAGCTGCTCAGAAAGACTTTGGGGCGGTTGGTCCCTGCAGTGCCAAAGCCAGCCAGAGGACAAACCCATAAGGGAGAAAGGCTGTCCAGGGACAGTCAGGGGGCATTTAGCACAGGCAAATCTGTGACAAGAGGGGAATTTCCCAGGGGCAGGGGCCAGATTTGATAGCGAGAGCAAAAAAAATCTAAATAAACAAGCTCTAAAGCCTCACTGTGGGGCTGCCCTCACACGCAAAGCATTGGCCGCACCGTTGGGCAGGGGCAGGTGGTGGTGGCTGGGAAACAGCGCACGACAGGGTGGCAAAGGTGCTGTATTCTGTGCTTCTTGGGAAGAAGAGTGATTCTCGGCCCCTTTGAAAGTCCTGAGGAGCTTCAGGCACGCTGGTGGAGCCTGGCAGGGAGCTGGGCCCTCCCCACGAGCCAGCTGAGCCCAAAGCAACCGCAGGGAGCAGGACAGGGCTAGCATCATGCGAAGGGCCCCGCGGGGCTAACAGCAAAGCTTCTCCTCCCAAGCAGCACCTCGTGCACAGCCCACATCGATCAGGACGACCTGGCAGAGTCCCTCTGAGAGGTGAATCCATCACGGCGAGAGAAAGTGAAAGGAGGAGGACGCCGGGCATCACTCAGGACAGACCCTAGACAGCAGCAGAAGCTTAAACGAGTCCTTCAGAGGGAGAGAGGGATCAGCAGGTACCTCCGTGCAGGTGCCAGGCTCAGGCTGGCAGTGTCCAGGGCTGAGAAGGGGAACCTGGGCCCTTCCAGCACTCTGCAAAGGCTCCCAGGAAATCCAGCCTCCTTACGAGGCTGCAGCAGCAGAGCGAGCTGGCGCGGGCAGGAGCTCTCCGCTCGGCAGGATCGGTGGTTTCCCAGGCAGAGCCCACTTACATGTGCTCAGGGTGGTTCTGGAGACACTTGATGACATCGGTGACAGGTTTGCCCTCATAGCAGATCTGATACACAGCTGTGAAGAGGGGGAACCTGCGGGCAGATGAACAAAGTCACCCCTTGCCCTGTCACCCCGGCTGGCAGAGTGCAGCACCTCAACTTCTTGTGACATGGGGAGCAGCGGGCAGGAGCAGGCAGGGGCGGGCAGGAACGGGCAGGGGCAGGCAGGAGAGGGCAGGAGCAGGCAGGAGAGGGGCTCGGTGCCTCAACCGACAGCCCGGTCCTGCCCAGCTGGTTTGATGTGGGCAGTGCAGAGACTGACCTGGACAGCAGAGACACTGAGGGTGCGTTTCCCCTCTCGCAGCCGCAGGAAAGGTCCCGACCCCACCCCGAAAGAGGAGACGGGAGAGACGACAGCACTCACTTATGCACCATGTTCTTGAGTTTAAGGATGCGATGCAGCTCAGCAGACGTCGGGGGTCCCTGCAGCTTCTGCCCGTTCAGTATCTCCTTCTCCAGCTGCTCAATAGTCTGGAACAGCCCAGCAGTGAGGGAGCTGGACCCCGTGACCCCACCTGCTGTCCCCTCCCCGGCGCCAGGCCCCACTCACCTTCCCAGTGCGGGCAAAAGCCTCAGCCACCTTGCGGTTGCGGCCACCGTAGCAGGTGGTGATGAGATCAGCCACCCCGCAGCTCTCCAGGAAGGTGGAGGAGGCGACGGGGCCCTTACAGAAGAGTTTGGCGAAGGCGATCATCTCCATCAGCCCCAGACGGATCACGGCAGCCTTCGTGTTGTCTCCGTAGCCGAGCCCATCACAGAAACCAGCTCCTACAGCCACAACGTTCTGGGAAACAAGAGCAGCGTGGAGGGGTCTGTTCCCAGGGGAGCTCAGGGGTTTGCTGTGCCCACGGCCTGCCTGTGTGACCCCAACACAGGCTCCTGCCTGGCCCTGCCTACGCTCCAAGCAGCCGAAGAGGACGCACCCGCAGTTCCCTCCAAAGCCTGGCCCTTGACCCAACCACCTCAGCGAGGCACGGCGCAATATCCAGGGGGGTTCATTCCCCTGGCAGCCTCCTCCTCCCCAGAGCTCCCTGCAGAGCCCCCGAGAGCTGCAGCCCGGCTAACCAAGGCCTGCAAACCCTGGCTAGCGGCTCGCCCACCTTGAGAGCCCCACAGATCTCCACGGTGTCAGCGTCCTGCACCACCGTCACTCGGAAGTTGGGTGTCTGCATCAGCTCCTTCAGCGTCTGCCCGTGCTGGATGTTCTTGCAGCCTGATAAGACAAAGGGAGAAGCTGATGGGGGAAGACCCTGAGGTAGGACCGTGCTGCTCTCCTGCAGCCAGAGGAACCTGTTGCCCAACTGATGGGCGCTGGTAAACATTTGCAGGTCCACAAAGTGCCAAGCACACGTTGCCTGGCAGATAAACAAAGGTTCAACCTTGGAATTCCCAGAAGATGGGGATGATCCCTACTGCCGCATCAAGCAAGACAGAAGTGACGTGCCCCGTAGATTAAAGGGTCTTTTCAGAGGTTGCAAACCTGGGTTTGTTCTCCCTGATCCTGCAGTATCCTGCGCGAGAGCCTTTCTGTGCGCTCACAGCACTACCACGCTCTGCTCATACCTCTGCAGCCTCTTGCACAGCGTGTTTGCTTTTGTTTAAAATACACTTTGAATCCTGTAACTTCTAACCCAGCAAACTGTTCTGTTGGTTTTGGCTGCTGCGCATGATTCACAGTGTGGAGGATGTTAGGAACAGCCACCGGCTGAACCTTCAGGCAGCCCTGGCTGGCAGTAACACGAGATCCAGGTGAGCGTCCCTTGAAGCCCGAGGAAACGAAGGTAAGAACTCCGCTTCCTAAAGGGTCTCTTAGCATCCACCCCTTTCATTTGTGCCAGGCAGACTGCCCGGTGCTCAGAGTCCGTGCTGGCAGGAGCTTTTAGACACACAACTCCGTTTTTAATGAAGCGAGCAATCGCATCGTAAACCCTGTGAGTGAGTTCATCCAGTTCTGACGGAGTCTCGCTGCCTCCGCAGGGAAAAAGGGCCGGCTCACCCTCGGCAGCAGTCGTTTAAGCTGCACCACGCTCACCCCTTTGCCTTTTCCTGCTCGTCAGAAACGAAGGCTGTTAATGAGGAGGGATGTCGGCTCCTTACCGATGGTTGTTTCACAGAACTTCTCTCCTGCCACTTCATTAGCGATGTTGGCGCCCATGAGGACGCTCATCTCTATTCCCAGTTTCTCGTGGATGATGTCTGAGATCAGCCTCAGCCCATCTGGTCCTTCATCCACCCCCTGTGAGACAACCAGGGACAGAGATGAGCACCTGCCCCCCCCCTCCCCAAATCCCCTCATTCCCCTGTGCTGCAACACTCCGACTCATCCCGGCAGCCCCCCTGGTGCTCAGCTGCACCCCACTCCTCGCAGCACTTGAGATCCCTCCGTGCCCTCGCCCTTCTCCATCCATACTCCAAATCCCCATGAAGACTCTGCCCCCACTTCCCACATCCCCCCCTGTAATTCTGGAGCCCAGTTTCTGCTCCAGCCCCCCAGGCTTCCCCTCGGCCCTGTGCCCCGGCGAGCTGCTCGAGGGCTCCCTCCTCCTGCTCACACCTTGATGAGCGACACCCCAACAGCATCTTTCTTCATGTGGCCCTTGAGCTGGTCACAGACTTGGCCAATAAACTGGTGGGGCACCACGAACAGGAGGATGTCAGCCCCTGCGCAAGCTTTCAGCAGGTCTGGCTCTGCTACCTGAAGAGAGTGTGACTGTCAGCAGGGGCTTGTGCCTGTAGCTGTGCCGTGACTGTGTCCCCGATGCAGGACGAGGGGAGCAGGGGCTTCCCTGGGGGGCTGGGGTGAAGGAAGGGCGTGAGGTCACCGCCCTGAGGTTCCCTTCCAGGGCTGGCAGGGGAGAGGGGCTGGAGCAGGGCAAAACCAGCCCGAGGGGGTCACGCAGAAGCGCTGCGAAGAGCCGGGGTCCCTCCAGGGAGCTCAGCAGGGTCCCGCCGAGGGGCACTGGCCCCGTGGGCTCTCTGCGTGCTGCCACTGCCAGCCCCGAGGCAGCCCCGTGGCCTCGAGCCCAGTCTGTGGGATGCCAGAGCAGGGGCAAAGGTGGGCACGGAGAGGAGCCAGGGCTGCAGCTCGTCCAAGCGCAGATCAAGGTCACCGGGCGGGTGTAACCGAGGCCCGCGCAGCTCGGTGCATCCCCCAGCTCTGCACACACAGCGCCCAGCCCACCGGGGCTCCGGCAGCTCCCAGCAGAGCCCGGCTCTCGGCACCGCACCTCGCGCTGGCCCGCCAGCGGGCCACACTCACCACGTTGGGGGGCAGCTTGTGCCCCGGCAGGTACTTGACGTTCTCGTGCTCCGTGTTGATGATGTCGGTGAGGCGCCGGCCGCCCACCTCCTCCTCCAGCACCCACATGTTCACCTGATTCTCGAAGGTGCTCAGCCGCGCCGCGTTGCTGCCGGCGATCTTGGCAATGGCCGAGCCCCTGCGTGGGCAGAGCAGAGCCGTGGGCACCGGGGGGCACCGGGGTGCACAGCGGGGCTCACGCCGTGCCCCGAGAGGCACCGGGGTGCCTGGCGGCGGGTGCTCACCAGTTGCCGGAGCCCACGACGCAGACTTTCTTGCCACCCATGGTGCGTGGAGCCGGGTCACTGCGCGGTGCTGAGCCCGCCGCCGCTATTTCAAGGCCAGTGGGAGCAGGGGGGGGCCTGCCCCGCCCCCGTCCCCACCCCCGGGGGAACCGGGCACCGTGCCCCGGGGAGCCGGTGCCCGCAGCTCGGGGGCTCCTGGAGCAAATGGGAAATGGCTCAGAGCCCAGACTGCAGCAGGGCGGGGAGGTGTGACTGCCCAGCTTCACGCCCCCCTTCCCCTGCACACGAGTATTTTATTCTCCCCCTCTTCCCAAGCACCGCTTCCCGCAGGTAAGGAATAACGAACCATCTGGTTTAGCGCCAGGGCCCAGCTCCTGCCCTGACCCCACGGCCACAAGCAGCAGCTCTGCCTTCCCCAGGACAAGGGCTCAGGTTTTCCTTGAAGCATTCCATTCCTGCGTCCACAGACCAGGGCAGGTGGAGCGGGTAACGTCCCTTTTGCAGAGCTGCAAACCCTCGTACATAAACTTTAATATTAGTTTCCTCAAAATTGTGCTGGACGGCCCATGGGGCTTGTAACAGGCTGTCACAACTCAGCGAGGCAGCAGAATGCGGAAAGGGGGCTGTCTAGATTTTATTAGCAGCTCAGCCACTAGATTGCCAGTTTTGCTTAAGTTACTTATTTACCACAAATGCACTTTGCAAAGGCTCAGCAAACCCTGCAAGCCAGGAGATCCTACATGAAAGGCTCTCTATAAAAGGCCAAAATATGAAGAACATTTTCTCTCCAGTCTCTTAACCCAATTGGCTTTGTTAGGGGAAAAAAAAAAAAAAAAAAAAGTAGAGATAACCCTATCCCTTCCCAGGCGAGTAAATGAAGGCAGCTGCTGAGAGAAAGCCTGCTGTCAGCACAGAAGGAGGGAGGACAGCTTCCTTCACAGGAGGCTTTTATTAAAACTGGGTGACGTCTACAAGGATACAGTACAAAAAAAAAAAAAAAAAATTTGGTCCACGGAAAAAACCGTAATACTCAGTTAAGAAAAGCAGTTATTCTGCAACAGCTACGTTTGCCTACGCAGTACTCAGCATCCTTCACGTGTGATGACCCTGAGGAGTCAGCGGGCTGCTTCATCAGCACCAAGACCTTCACCCCAGTACCACAGAGGAGCCATTTCCTAAGGGGGCGAAGGAGAAGGGGAAAGTCGAGAGTCTATTACTCACAGACATGTAGTAACACAGACACAAGGAGTAGGGCCACCCAGGCTCCCAAATTCGTAGCAACTTTCCCAACCACACCAAAGCCGGGTGTGGGGATGTGGGGGGGTTTGTCAGTAACATGTTTTTGCAGCTATTCCAAGAGAATGTGACCAACTTTCAAGTCCATTTGCATTACAGTCCCGAGCAGAAATACTGAGAGCCAGGTTAAGAGAAACCATTCGCTTACACCTGACCACTAGTTCACTAGTACTAGTATTCCATGAGGAGGCATCTGGGGCCGCTATTCCCCACAGTAGAGAAAAACCTACTTGTACATTCCTGAACCATGCCGGGCCTTATGGCAGCTCCAGAACCTAAAACTTGACTAAAAACCACAGGAGCTTCAGCATGGAAACACCTGCTAACACGTGCAGCCCCAAGACTGTTCCCGTGACACCCTCAGACCCACAGGAAGGAGCCTCTGGTCCCCCCAGGAAGTGACACAGGGTAAGTGTCCCAAAGGAATGAGCCTACACCACTGCACCCCAGCACAATTCCACCAGGCAGGTGCTGCGGCCCCTCTCCCTGGCGCAGGGCAGGGGAGCAGCCCGACAGCGTGCTGGAAGCCCGGGCGTCGGACTGCTGAAGCGCAGAGGAGTCAATGCTGCCACATCCCTGCAGTTAAGCCAATGCCTCCTCTCCCCTGTGATCCCAGCCTAGGACAGTCTGTCAAAGAACACAAAGGGAACGGGGCAGGGAAAAAGGGACGAGGGAAGAAGCGATTCTCTACACAGTCCAGTAACTTCCTCGAGGAGGAGAGTGACCTGTGAGGCAGCCCAGTGCAGCAGCACCCTCCGAGCGAGGGAGAAGGGCAGGGAGGTATGTCAGCTCGAGGCGTCCTGCCCGCTACGGCTCCTGGCACCTTGCTGTAGAACACGGCAGGGAAGAGACCGGCCACAGAACTTCTGCCTCACGGCAGACCCGGGCTCCCCAGACCCAGGTCTCGTGTGCGCCACAACTAGATGCTAGTTGGGGAGGAACGGGCTGTGGTTTCTGAACTTGAGAAAGGCTCCAAGTCAGCAGTCGTACTGGCTACTGGGGACACTACGGGCAGTGCGGAGTCAAGGGGAGGCTCTCGGAAGCCTTGGGACTGACAAGGCAACAGTCAAGAAGAAAACCAGGTAGAAATGTGTGCTCGACGGAGCCCGTCTGCTTGCCACACCCCAGAAGACCCCAGGTGTCCTGGAGCTGCCCCAGCAGGGACAATGCCAGGATGGGTAATGATGCGGGGCTCGCTGCCGGCGTGGGGCTCTGTGAGCCTTAACAGCTCCGTCTCCACAAACAGCTGTGATGCCTTCCGGCCGGGGAGGAGCAGAGCGGCCTATGTGTTCCGGATCCCCAGGGCCTGCTCCAGTTCCTGCCGTCTCTGCTGCACCTGCAAAAGAAGGCAGAGGCTCAGCACTGACATGCTTGGATGGTGCAGCACACGGCGTCCGAGCAACACGGGAAAAGGGTGAACTCAGCTGGGACCCGCGAGTCTGCGAGAGGAGCTTAGTGCTGCCACCTCCCCCCGAGGAGAGGCAGGTACCCCGAGCCACCGGGTACGGAGCAGGGGACGCTCACCTTGGAGTAGAAGTATCTGCACACAGCTTCCTGAGCCCACGGCTGGAAGTAGAACTCAGCTCTACGCTCCTCTTCAGGATTCCCAACGACATCGGTCATTGTCTGCAGAGCACAAAGGACAAAGCAGTTCAGGGAGTGCAAAAAGCTCTGGCTGTGCTGAGCAAACCCCCACCCCCTCCCCTTTCCTCAGAGACATTTCAGTACAATCAGGTCAGGTTCTTACGCTTGACTCCAATTCTAGTGTTGCTTTCTGAGCAGGAAATTGCCTCTCTCTCTCTCTCTCTCTCTCTCTCTGTGGGAGCTGGTTATAATGAGGGGAGCGTGTGACTGGATCCACCTTCCACACAAGTCAAAGCTTTTACCTTTAAATCCCGGCACTGGGACTGTAGCCAGTCGTTGATGAAGCCCTGAGGATCTCGGGCAAAGCTCAGCATGAACTCACGCTGGGTCTTCAGCTGGTTAATTGTCTCTATTGTTTCATGAATCTGAAGGAGAGAAGCACAGCAACTAAAGTGCTGAGTAGGGGAAAGAGTCAGACAGAAACATCAGGACACCCAACACATGAAGGCAAATTCTTAGACTCCCCGGTTGACCTACACCTATCAGACAGGATTTTCGATTCCCAGTTTCCTGTTCTAATTATTACCAATTTTCCCACTGACCATTTGCTTTAAAACTACACTTCCAGGTAAAGCCATCTCTTTGTAAGCACGGCTTACCCCACTCCAGCTTCCAAATGCACAACCGAGCAAGGCTGAACTCCTGGCCTGTTCAGGGCTCACCTGCTCCAGAGGCACAATCCTACCCCGCCCGGAGGAGGGCAGGCCTGCAGGAGCTCTTCCTACCTTGTTATCCAGAGCAGCAATTTCCTGTTGACTGGCTGTGGATAGCAGAAAGGAATTCATCTGAGTTTTCAATGTATCATCCACCTCCACATCAATGTCATAGCAAGCTGTTTTCTTCTGGTCATTTGGGTCGACACTAGGGGCAAACACAAGATGCTGAAATAAGTGAGCAGCTCAAGAAAGCACCAAATTGTAGCTCCTTGAGGATGCAATCAGGGACAAGGCACAGTAGCGTTAGCTTCAGTGCCAACACCAAGCAGCAAAGCTCTGCTGAAGGCTTTGCAGCACAAGGATCAGGGGATTGTTCCAAGCAGCTTTCTGTCTACAAAAGTGTAACAAAAAGGACGGCACAAAGGTGGGAAGTGCCCTGTGGAAAAGAGAGATGTGGTAAATAAAAAGAGGCGGCTGGTCTTGCCTGTCGTTGGTTCTTTGTACAACACGGGAACTGCTGCTGAGAATCAGAACGTGTTACAGCGCCCTCCTGGGCCAGCATCATCCATCCCTTCCACTCCCCAGAAACAGGAAGCCAAGCGGCCCAGCCTCACCTGATCACATGATTAATGATGATCGGTTCTGGGGGCATAAGCAAGGCGTGAAGTCTTTGCGGGATTTCAGAGAACTTCATCCGCTGAGATTCAAATATCTGTGGCAGAAACACAGGGCTAAGGAAAGGAAGGGCAGCTCAGCGCCAGCCATCGCTGACTGCTGACAGAAGCTGAACAGCCGCCTGTCCCGGGCACTTTCCTGTCCCTTTACCTGCTGGAGGTATTTGTCACAGATGACGTACTCCCGCTCGTGGGGGTCCTGGAGCTTGTGGGTCTTGATATATTGCCACAGCGCCTGGATGATCACGGGACGGGTCTGAGTGTGGATCCCCAGGAGACGAGCCAAGCGGGGATCCAGTTTGAACTGGGGCGGCTGAGACAAAAAGCACAGAAAGGTGAGATGGGCGCAGACACAGCTACCACCACTCGCCTGGCACTGTCACTCCCACCATCTCACCTGGTAATCCAGCATCAGGAGGACAGTACAGCGCACATTTACATCTCCCGGCCTCTTCACCTGGAAGCCGTCTGTCTCCTGAGTTGTGGCAGTCCTGTGCCACTGCAACAGGAGAGGACATTTAGAACCCCCCCGACACTCGGTTCCCTTCACTCCTGCTGCTTGGCTGCCAGTAAATCCCACCCACCTAGAGAAAGTTCACCTTATTCCCACTTACAGGCAGAAACAAGAGTTAATACATTTGTTCAGACCCCCAGCAAGTCAGAGGAAAAGCTCAGGTAAGAATTCAAGAGCTCCTGGCTCCCAGCCACTTGTTCAAGCCTGAAGTATCCCCACCTCTCAAGTTACAAGTGGTACACAAGCCCTGTCTGCTGAAACACCAACCCATTTTCAGAGGTAACACAGCAAAAAGAAGCTCACCTCTACTAGGTGATTGTCAGGGCCATACAGGTCTT